TCTGTTTTTGCTCAAGCTTAGCTTAGTGTGACACTCAGACCACTTCCTGTTGCCTATTAAGTCAAGATGTAATTCCTTCTCCACTCTCAGCTCATTCTCCAGCACCATCTGCCTGCATGCTGCCATGTCCTGCCATGATAATGGACTAAAACTCTGAAACTGTAAGCCAGCCCCAATTAAATGTTTTCCTTTGTAAGAGCTGCAGTGGTCATAGTGTCTCTTCACAGCAATAGAAACTCTAATTAAGACAGAATAATTACTTCCCCATTTTCCTTAGTACTTCAAAAGTAATTTCTGCATGCTTTCAGGAATTTCTCTTGTTCTTTTTATGAGACAGGGTCTTTGTGTAACCCTGGTTGTCTTAGCATTTGCTCTGTAGGGTGGCCTTAATCTCCCAGAGATCAACCTACCTCTACTTCCAGTGTCCAGGGATCAAAGGCATGTTCTACCATGCCTTGTGACCTTAGGGATTTCATTTTAATTATTCAATTTTATATGTGTGGGTGTTTTGCCTGCATGTATGTACAGTATGTGCATGAAGTGCTTACAGAATCCAGTCCCGATCTGGGGATTTATAATCTATAAGTAAACATGTACATTTTGTCACATTCACAGTTTAACTCTTACACTTTCTCAACTTCTTGCTATTTGTATAGTTTGAATCTAGTATGAAAATTTTTGAGGGTGGATAAAAGATGAGAATTTATTGGAGAATTTTTTGTGTTTTCTTTCATTATGAATTTTCTTTCATAGTTACTATTTCAGCACTAGGTAAAGGATTTGTCAAATTGAATGTATTTGAAGGGTGGAACTTCCAATGAACAGCAAGACATGGGGATTATATATGGTATAGCTTTATAAGGCTTGCCTGAAGTATGAATTTAGTGAGGTATAGCAAAATTATAGGAAAAATTAAAGCTTTCTCACAATTTTTGATACTACATTTTGTCATTATTATTATCATTATTATTATTTGTTATTGGAGACAAGGTTTATATAGTGATTTAATATGAAGATCAGGCTGGCCTTGAAGTCACACAAATCCCACTGCCTCTGTGTCTGAAGTGCTGGGATTAAAGGTGAGCAGCATCATGATTGGAATTATTATGAATTTTTAGAGGCCGAACAAGATAAATGTTTTTATTATAGCTTTTCTCAGGGGCTGAAGAGATGGCTTAGTGGTTAAGAGTGCTGGATCTTCTTCCAGGGAATCAGGGTCCAATTCCCGGCACAGATATAGCAGCTCACAACTGCCTATAACTCCAGCTTTGGGGATCTGATACCCTCTTTTGGCATCCATAGGTAGGAAGCATATATGGAGTACACAGACATGAAATGCAGTCAAAATTCCTATACATATTTTTTAAAAAATATTTTCACAAGTTACATTTGCAGAATTTTGTTTTAATATACACACTGTGATATTTTAATAATTAAACCTCATTAAAGACATTCACAAGTTTCATATCTTTATGGCTCTATTATGTATACTGTTGTGACTTGTAAACAGAGAATACCAGATAAATGCTACATCACATTGTTTACAATAGCTTTTTTCTCTACAATATAAGTTTTCTGATGAGCTTGAATAGTTGAGGACTTAGTAAAAGATTTGCCACATTCCTTACATATGTGAGGTCTCTCTCCAGTATGAACTCTGTAATGTGTTCTACAATTTGAATGCTGGATGAAAGATCTGTCACAGTCTTTGCATTTGTAAGGTTTCTCTCCAGCATGAACTTTGTGATGTACTCTAAGACATGAACATCAAGTAAAAGATTTGCCACATTCCTTACAGAAGTAATCTCTCTCTTTAGGATGAACTCTGATGTTTTCTCAGATTTGAATGCTGGGTAAAGGCTATGTCACAGTCTTTGCATTTGTAAGTTTACTTTCCAGTGTGAATTTTCTAATATTCTCTAAAGAGTTGGGCACTTAGAAGATTTGTCACATTCTTTACACCTGTAAGGTTTCTCTCCAGTGTGAATTTTCTAGTGTGTTCTAAGAGTTGAGGTTACAGCAAAGTATTTGTCACAGACCTCACATTTGTAAGGTTTCTCACCAGTGTGGATTCTGTGATGCATTTTAAGATGTGATAATTCAAGAAAGGACTTCCTACAATCTTTGCCTTTGTATAATTTCTCTAGAGAATGAATTTTCTGATGCCTTCTAAATGATGAATAGTGTCTACAGGATCTGTCACGTTCATTTCATTTGTAAAGCTACTCTCCAGCATGCCTTTCCTTTTTATGCATTTTCTGATGGCTTTGGAGTGCTGATAATTGAGGAAATGACTTTCCACAATTTTTGCATTTGTAAGGTTTTTCTCCAGTATGAAGTCTTTGATGTGTTTTAAGACTTGAGCACTGAGTAAAGGATTTGTCACAAACGTTGCACTTGTAGGGTTTCTCTCCAGAATGAATTCTCTCATGTTTTGTAAGAGTTGACTTTAGAGTAAATAATTTGTCACATTCCTTACATTTGTAAGGCTTCTCTCCAGTATGCATTTTCTGATGGCTATGAAGTGCTGATAAGTCATGAAATGACTTTCCACAATTTTTGCATTTGTAAGGTTTTTCCCCAGTATGAAGTCTTTGATGTATTTTAAGATGTGAACACTGATTAAAGGATTTGTCACAAACATCGCACTTGTAGGGCTTCTCTCCAGTATGAATTCTCTGATGCTTTGTAAGAGTTGACTTTACAGGAAAGGATTTGTCACATTCCTTACATTTATAAGGCTTCTCTCCAGTATGTAATTTCTGATGGTTTTTAAGGACTACCAATAGGCGAAATGACTTTCCACACTCCTTGCATTTGTAAGGTTTCTCCCCAGTATGAAGTCTTTGATGTGCTTTAAGACTTGCACTCTGGTTATAGGATTTGTCACAAATGTTGCACTTGTAGGGTTTCTTTCTGCATTTCTCACACTGGTGTGGTGTCTCTCCAATGGAGATTATTTGTTTTATAAGATTGTATGTAGAGCCGAAACAGTCATCATATTCTCTCTGACTATTATGTTTCTTTGCAGTGTAATATCTCTGATCTTGAGGAATATTGGGACAGAAATTTAAAGATTTCCCACAGTTTTTAGATTTGCAATGTTCTTCTCCAGTGTGCATGCTTTCATGTCTGTCTGGGTTTGATGAGTCAATAGAGGCATCCCTGTGATTACTGCATCTGTAGTTACTGGCATTTTCTGTAGTTTCACTTGTTCTATAAAGTCCACTTGTAGAGGGGTCATGAAGCACTTTGCTAAGCTCATTACACTGACAAGACTTCTTTCCAGTCTTCACATGTTGATGGACAGGATCACATATGCAATAGTTCTCTGAAAATGAGTACAATTCAGATTAAATGGGCTTGTTCCAAGATTAAACATTTGATAGATGACAGAGTTTTTCAGTTTTCTCTTCAGAAAAATCAACCAGCAACTATTTAGAATAGAGTTCTTAGTAGTCAATCTTACCCTTTCACTATAATTATATGGATTCTCACAAAAAAACAAAGTGATAGCCTTCACGGAAGATGAAACAGATATTAGAGGAATCAGTAGTTAGCCTCAGGATGGAGCTCACTGACTGATTATAATTAGAATACATGTCTCTAATTTTAAATATTTATTTCCTCAGGCATTGATGAAAAAGAGTTTAATCTAATCCCAGATTCACAGTATTTGTACTTCCTAATTCCAGCAATGAAGAGTACTGTTGAGAATTGCTTTTAAGATTAAAGGATTACTCAAAAGTATCAAAGAATTCTTTTTCCTTAAAAAAAGGAGGGGGGATTAGATTCTTCAAAATTCATAGATGCAAATCAAGTATTCTGCCAGACACCAGAGTATCTAGGTCATTTGAGGCAGAGCTGTCATGGGCAGCTATTGCTTATTTCTATCCTCCACACACTGCTGTATTTCTTAACTTTCTTCATAGGGTTATTCTCAAGTCCACTCTGTACACCGACTCCAAAGATTATTTCCCAGAAGGTGTCTGTGTGTCCTCCACTGGGAAGAATATAAAGGATGTGATATAAAGACAGACAGCAAGGAAGGCAATTACAGAATAATTCTACCCCATGGACTCATTTTAGACACAAAATTTGTAAAATTATTCCAGTTGGATGTCAGCATAATCAAATAAAATTGCATTTTGTACTAGTATCAAGTCACCATAGTTCAGATGCAATAAAGCACAATGTCTTCTAACAGTTACAACAGGTAGAATGCATCCTGGAACCAGGACACTATAGTAAGTTAATGATCACAATCCTTTCAAGTGGAATTAAATACAGGAAAACCATTTTCAGCTCTTGATTTCTCTTTTACTGGAAGCTATCGTTGTCCTGCTCATTCATGAGCCCACCCTGGCTGTGGCTACTCTCTTATTTGCTCTGGACAGGTGACCAGGCCTACCTTGCACATAATAACCCACATGTACTATGACTCATGACAGAGTTTTTAAAAAGAATATAGACATCTAAAACACAGTACTGTGCTCAGTACATGAAGAGAACACAAAGTATGGGAATATAGGAATGATTTCCCAATTGTTTTTTCCTGTAAGTATTCTAAACATATTTAGGGAGAAATTTCAGTTTGCATACTGTGAGTTTTCCTCATAATTAAAATGATGTCAAATGCAATTATGGACATGGAACTTAAGATATAGGTGAAAATAGCCCCAATTCCTGTGACCTATAATCTGTCCTGTCTGTAAAATATGCTAAGGCAATGGTGGAGCAGAAACTGAGGGAGTAACCAAGAATTGTCTGACTTTACTTATGGCCCAATCTACAAGGTTGAACCCATAGCCAACACTGCTTGGGTAACCAAGGACCGAAGACTAGATAGACCAGAGAACAACGGTAAAACAAAAAACTACTGGTGTAAAAAGAAAAAAAAAGTCAATAAAATGACTCCTTACGATATTCTACTATACTCATAGATCAGTGCCTTATTCCGTCATCATCTCATAAGCTTCCTCCTGCAACATATGGGAAAAGATGCAGAGACCCACAGCCAGTCAGTATGTGGAGAGAGTCTACATGTGATATGTCCATTAAATCCCTCCCCTCAGAGCTCACGGAACCATGAAGAGAAGAGGTGAAAGGCGTGTAAGATCCTGAGGGGATAGAGGACAACAGAAGAACAAGGCCCTCTGAGCCAACTAGCCAAGTGTAAGTGAACTCACAGAGACTGAAGTAGCAGGTACAGGGCCTACACAGGTCTGACCCAGGTCCTCTGCACATATATTATAGTTTTAAGCTTAGTCTTCTCATAGGACACCTGAGTGTGATTGAAAGGGTCTCTGATGCTTGTATCTGTACGCAGAACTCTTTTCCTTCTGTTGGGTTACTTTGTCCAACTTCAGTATGATGGTTTTTGTTTCATCTTATATTCTATTTTGTCATGCTTGGTTGTTATGTCTTAGAAGGCTATTATTTTCTAATGAGAGACAGAGAGGGAGTAGCTATTGAGGGGAGGGGATATGGAGAGGAAGGAGTTGCAGAGGGATGGGAAAGTATCATCAGAATATACTGTATGAGAAAAGAACCTACAATAAAAGGAAATCAATGGAAAATTAGATTTGGGTACAAATATTATATGCTGCTATGTTTCTGAATGCATCTTGGAACCAAAACGAAGGGTGCATGATACCTCTAAAATGGAAAATGGAAGGGAAAAAATTAAATACCATGAAAAAGTTCTTTTGTACTACCAAAGTTTCCATAGTCCTCTGTTGTTTCCATGACAGTTTAACACAGAACTTACAACTTATAAAGTCAGTACATACAAAAGATTAATTAGGAATTCTACAAGCTAAATTTCTCACCCACAGAGACCAGGTTGCTGTAATTCTCCAACATTACATCAGTGTACAAAGACCTCTGAGCAGAGTCCAGATATTCCCATTCCTCTTTTGAGAAGTCTACAGCTACATCCCAGAATGTCAACAGACCCTGAAACAAAAAAGTACAGTTTGATCATGTGATACTGGACAGAGTGCTTTCTTGGATATAAGGAGACTTGAAGAAATTAGGGCTGTAGATGGAGGAAGACAATTACTCAAAAAAATTATTTCTGATATAGTCACATGTATGTAATGAAAGTTCTAACTCTGTGAAAAACAGGATGACACAGTAGTCTCACATGCAATATACTCAAAACAAGGCACACATTTAAAGTCTGGACATGGTATCTATCTGTCATGGATGCTGTGTTTATGTCCCACAGGATTACAGTGTACATGTCTCAGAAGGAAAATCTGTTATAAGGAAATGTGATTTCAAATGTTGTACCTGTAGATCATGCTACAGAGGATTAAAACCCATATTTAAAATGAGAAACACAGAAACTTAAAGAACATAAGAAATACCCTCAGAATATGGGATGGGCAAGATCTTATTGAAAAGAAAAAACACAAACCGAACTGGAAATAACCCCAAGTATCAACAGATGGAACTACATGGATATAAAGTGTTTCTGTTTACCAAAGGAAACAATCAGCAGAACACACAGACATCACTCAGAATGGGAGAGAATCTGTACCAGTGACACTTTGGATAGGGGCTCATATCTAGAATTTACAAACAATTATAGAAACTAAATACCATGGAAATGAAACTGCCAAACAATATATGTGCAAATGAGCTGAATAGACACTTTGTGAAAAGAGAAACACAAATGGCCAATAAAGTTTGTAAAATGTATTCAAGATCCCTAAAATGCCATCATGGAAATGCAAACTAAAACTACTTGAAATACACCTCACCCCAGGTAGAATGACATCAACTAGTCTGACAACATATGTCAGAGAGGATGAGGAAGAAAGATCCCCTTAGTCACTGTTTGTGTGTAGTGTAGTATAATTAATACAACCATTGTGAAAATCAGTTTAGAGAGCATTGAAAAAAATTAAAGATAGAACTAATATATGGACAGCTTTTACTCCCGGGCATACACCCAGGGAACTCCATTCTCCACTACTGAGATATTTACACCCCATATTTACTGCTGCTTATTCACCAAAGCAAAGAATTGGAATCAACCTAATAGTCTATCAACAGATGAATGGATAATGAAAATGGTATTATACATATAAAAGGGAATACTATACAACTGTAGAGAAAAATGTAATAAAAATTTTCAGGATAATGGTGGGACTTAGAATATGTAATAGTAAGTAATATCATACAAGTCAGAAAGAAAGAAATCACGCTTTTCCTCGTGTAGAATCTAGCCAATAATATGTGTATATGGGAAACAATGTACATGTGGGCACAGTAGAACATGGAGAAAAGAGAACAGGAAACTTTAAATCAGGAGTTCAGGTATAACTGAATGCAGATAATGAACACCAGTCACGAAAAATGATATAAAGATAATTGCTTTTCTAGTTCTAATTCTGTGACATGTCTTTTGGTTTTGGGTGGTGTATAATTACAACATAATATACTCAATAGTAAACATATAAAATCACATGTGAGGCTCAGAGCTTCTATTCCTAATGGCAACTCTAACTGTATAAAATTACATTAAGTTGTATAGTCTTTGGGTATAGTTAATTTCAGTAAGTGAATTTTTTGTTGTGTGTTTGTTTGGAATGACTTTTAAAACAAAGTTAAAAAAATATCAGAAGCAGAAAACTAAAGGCACCCAATGTCTCAGAATATAACGTTTCTAGAAAATATAGTGGACATGACCACTGACCTGGGATATGTTTATTGGAGAATCAGCCATTTCTTTCTGTTTCTTTTCTTTGACTTTCTCTTTCAGGAACAATGAATAGATGGCTTGCTGCCCTTTCATATAAGAGATCAAAAAGAAAATGCAAAAATTAATACTAAAAGCTGATAAAGAAAAATGTCAAACCGCATGAAAAGACACAAGGAACAGAATTTTACCAGGTATCCAGTAAATGATCCCAAAGACAGGAGAACATGAAAATACATTTAAAGCCTGGAGGGAAAATTATCATCAACCATATTGCTGCAACCAGACAAATAGTCCCTAAAATTGATGGAGACATAAGTGCATTTCAAGATAGGCATGAATGAACACAACTCACTTCAATAAAGCAGCACAGCAGATATTAAATAGGAGGGAAAATATACAGAGGAGAATCAGAGGAATTATCCATGGGAACATGGTAAGTAATACATTTCATGTGAAGAATTGGTAAGCAGAGGAGAAAGGGGAGGCAAGCCACTAGCTCTCATAGTAAAGAAACAATACTCCCAAATATCCAACCAACAACTGCTGTGGAAAACCCTTTTGTACACTGTGAAGATTTGTCACTGTGATTGGTTTAATAAAGAAGCTGACTGGCTGAAAACTGGACAGGATAAGGCTAGGCGGAAAAATCAAACTGAGGATGCTGAGGAAAAGAAGGGAGTTAGGAGAGTTGCCAACCCAGATGGAGAACTAGTCAGACACACAAAATGGGGTGGAGGTAAAGGCCACAAGCCTTGGGGCAGTACGTGAATGAATAGAAATGGGTTAATTTGCAAGAGTTAGTTAGTAATAAGTCTGAGCTATTAGCCAGGCATTTACAATTAATATAAGACTCTGAGTGATTATTTGAGAGCAGTTGTGGCACAGGGAAACTTCTGCTTAAAAGCAACATTAAAATCAAAACCATAAGAAATAAAATCCAATGAACAAAAATTCTAGCCACTCTAGAAATCAATACAGAGAATTTTAAACCAAATATACAAATCCTTAATTTAAACAAATCTAGCACATGAGCCAGCTGTACCATTCCTTGGCATATGCTCAAAGGACTTGACATCCTACTTATAGGGAGTTGCTCATTCTGGTCATTGCTGCTCCACTCACAATAACTACAAAAGGGAAACAAGCCAGATGTCTTTCAACCAACAAATGGATAGTGAAAACATGGTACATTTATATTATAAAATATTATTCAGCTGTGAAGAAAATTGAAATTATAAACTTTGTGAGTAAAAGAATGGACCAAGGAAAGATCATATTGCGTGAGGTAACCCAAACCCAGAAAGACAGACATTGCTTGTTCTCACTCATAGGAAGTTCCTAGCTCCAAATCTTCAGATTTGAGTACACAACCTGGAGTGAGTACAGTAACAAGAAAAATAAAAATAGACCACAGTGGGATATAGGGGACTAACAGAGAGGGAAGTAACAGGAACAAGTGATCTAAAGGGAGAAATGGAAAAACAGGGAGAGATTTAATTATAGAGGAGGAACAGATATAAACACAGAAGAAGGACAGTAAAATAACACTAAGAATGTCTAAAAAGTAATAAGCAATCATACTATTGTCATCTACCATTAATGCCTATAACATAAGCCTGTGTATACAGTTAAGAGTTAGAGTATAAATGAAAGTTTCCCATCTGGGCTGATAATGGTCTTCACGGTGCCACATTTTTTTTTTTTTTTTTTTTTTTTTTTTTTTTTTAACGAAACCACCAACACTAGGTGTAAGGAGCCTGCTTTGAAGTTGTTGGTTACAACTATCCTTGAGATTATCAAAACATTACAGGCTACTGCTGTTGCCCATACTTGCCTCCTAGAGGTAGAAGGTGAGTCCCTATTGTTGAAGAAGCCATGCATTTTGCACATATATCCTAGAGGACTTGAGATAGATCAGAATTTAAAACTTCCTGTTTAGGGACTAGCTTTCATGGTACCAGAAGGCAACATTCAAGCTTCCAAAGGAGGGAACCAGCGAACAGTCCTACCCAGCAATGACACCTATGAACTACAACAATGATCTGCACTGCATGATAGCCCTAAGGGTGCAAGAGTGAAACACAGACCTTGGTGGTAACCAACAGCTTCCATTTGGATTTAAGACACTGTCAACAAGGGGCAAATCATGCCTGGTTCTGGAAACCTAGCTAGTGTCCCCAGAGCTAGTGAAGTCAATAATCTTGGAGGAGAATCTAGAACTACTAATTTACTAAATCAGCATAATCCCTAAATGCAGTCTAAATATTTTCTTATTCCCATAGATAAATTTAGTTTCTCACCCCTCACCAAGTAAAGTAAAATAAAATAACTTTATTTTAGCAACACAGGGAGATAATTATAGAAAACCAAATCAGTAAAAATGCAGAGTTGTGCCGGGCCGTGGTGGTGCACGCCTTTAACCCAGCACTCGGGAGGCAGAGCCAGGCGGATCTCTGTGAGTTCGAGGCCAGCCTGGACTACCAAGTGAGTCCCAGGAAAGGCGTAAAGCTACACAGAGAAAGCCTGTCTCAAAAAAAAAAAAAAAAAAAAAAAAAAAAAGGTTATATTTTTATGTTTAGCAATACATACAAACATACAATGACAATAAAAGAAAAAGTTGTTAAGAAATAAAAAATGCCTGTGCAAAGTCAAGATTTTAGATCATCTACATAAAAAATGTGTATAAGGGCTTTATATTATCTTCTATTACTGCTACTCACATAAGCAAAACTTAATAGGGCTAGAGAGATGGTTCAATGGGTATGGGCATCTGTTACTGTTTTAGAGACCCAGGTTCCATTCCCAGACCCCAGACGGTGGCTCCCATCTGTCCACAATACAAATACACACTGTACATGATATACAATAATACATGTAAGCAAAACAGTCTTGGCAAAACTGATTTCATGTCCCACTTCCACATTCACTTGATCCCCTTTCCACTCCTTCACCAATTCCTCCACCATACCAAGACCCTTAGCTACTGTTTCCTTTCTCCTTCCAGGCCACTTTGTTCTGCTGCACAGATGAGGACGTCTGGGTAACCAGTGATCCCTGCACATGAGAGATTGTTCAGAAAGCACCTGGATTTCTAACATAGTACTGTGCTCAATAGATGAAGAGAAAACAAAACACAGGATTCTACAAATGACTCCCCAGCTGTAATGCAGGGTCAGAATACTGAAAATATTTAGGAAGCATTTTCAGTTAGTGTCACTTGAATCTCACTTCCAAGCACAGCTCAGTCAAATCTCAGGGGCAGAAATGTAAATGCATGACTGGGATGAGAATATCATACACTAGTGAGGTTATGAATTGATCATGGACCAAAAGTTATGGAAGCCCTACACCTCTGAAAAGGACTCACAAGAAGAGAACATTTCATGACAATCTTCTTTGTTCCGCTGAGGATTTCACTTTATTCTGTGAGGCGTGAGACTCCTTCACACACAGCTCACACACATGCAGACTAGTTTTTCTAGGAATCCTGAGAAGGAGCAAGGGAGACTGCAAACAAACTATTCTCACCCACAGAAACCAAACTACTGCAATTCTGAAACAGTCACTCTGTGTACAAAGCCCTCTGAGCAAGGTCCAGGCATTGCCCCTCCTCCTGGGAGAAGTCCACAGTCACACAACTGGCTGTCAATAAACCACAAAATAAAAAACAACAGTTTGAATCATCCTGTTGGTGCACACATTTAATCCTAGCACTTGAGAGAAACAGGTGAGTGGAACTCTGTGTTTTCCAGTCCAGTCTGGTCTACATGGTGAATTTGGGGGTCAACAGAGCAACACAGGTATTTTGAGTCTCAAACAAAGCAAACACAAGAACCAGAAACTAATAGTTTGGTCATGTGTCCATGGACGGAGTGCTTTTCTTGAACTGAGGAGACAAAAGACTATTGCAGACATTTTTCTGATGTAGATGAGTGATCATAATTGTTCAAAAGATGCTTTCTAATATCATCCTGTATTATAATGCCTTTTCTTTGCTTTGAGGGAGGGTTTCTCTATGTAGTATAATCCCACTGAAGGAGAGTAAAGACCATCACTCAAATTTTTTGATCCAGTTAAGCAAGTTTTATTTCTGTCAGACAGATCTATATCCCTAATGTGGGGTTTGAAAATATAATATTGAATAAAGGAGAAAGTGGGGCTTATATATCCCCCAAAACTGCAGAGCAAGGGGGGTTTTTGAGGTTTGGTGGATTTCCAGAAGAATTTTGGTTAATTAGGAACTTTGGTGAACATTTTAAATTTATTTGGCAGAACATCTTTTCAAGCTGTGAGTCAAACTCCTTAGAGTGAGAAGCATGTCAAATTCCAGAAACAGGTTAAAGCACAGTCAACTTGAATTTTGAGGCAAACAGAAATGACTTGTTCTAACCTTTTAACAAAATGGCTTCCATCCTTAAGATGGAGTCAGGCTGGTCCATCATTAGGCTGTAAAAGTCACTCTGTAGCCCAGACTGGCATCAAAGCATCAAACTCCGAGGTCCACCTGCCTCTGCTTCTGGGGTGCTGGGATTAAAGGCATGTGCCACCAGATCCAGCTCACTTTTCAGAATGCCATATTTACACCACAGAGTGCATATGTCTCAGATGGAAGAATAATGGTGTACAAAAAGTTTAATTTCAAGTGTTAGCGTTTACAAATCATATATGTAAAACTATATGTAAAACTAGCAAAGATATATTTTTATGCGATTAAATCTGTAACAATTCCTTTCATGTCTAATATCTAAAAGCTCTCCCGTGATGCTAAATCCCGAAGTCCCCAGGTACAACAAGGAAGCTAGTGTGGATGAATGTAAATTTGAAGAGCTTTGACCTTTCCACCAAAGAGAACCATGTTTGCAAATATCAACAGATAAGTTCAAACTTTCTACTAGAGTAGTTTTATAAGAATATTTTGGAAACCAGAGGATCTATGAAGAAGAAAAAAATAGGATTAGTCTAGTTCAAATGATCTAACATTTACAGACAAGAAAAGACATCCACAGCAATGTTTCACTGCTGGCTTCCTTATAAACAGCGACTGATTGCTGTAAGGTAAAAGAACCAGTGAAAGAAACCCACCGTGGTCCTGAAACCGGAGCCAGTGAAAGAAACACACTTTAGCCCTGAAACTGGAACAAAAAAAAATACTCTGACTCTGAAACCAGAGCCAAAGAAACACACTTTGGCCCTGTAACCAGAGCTAAATCTGCCCCTGACCAACTGAGAACAAAACCAACCAATCGCTGAGCATGAAAACCAACCATTCCCTGAGCAGAAAGCCAACCAATCCCTGAGCATGAAATCTAGCCAATCTGAGCTTGTTCAAACTCAAAGTGATTGAAATCCGTCCAATTCCTACCCTGAAAAAATCTTCTTCCTGGAAAAACCCCGCCCCTAAGAAGCCTAATATAAGCCGGAAATCTATTCATTCTGGGGCTGCCTTTTCCCACTAGGCAGGGGCAGCTACTCTTCTGCATTCTTCCTTCCTAATAAATCTCTTGAATGAGGTTTGGGTGAGGAACTTCTTTTGCTGAGCAGAGACTAGGCCTGGGCAGTGGAGCAGAGCACACTTTCGCTGGCGAAACTTTTCCCTGGAGCAGGACTTACAGTGACTCGTGGTATTCCTTGGCTCCCGACTGCCAGGATCCCTTTCCATCCGAGCAGCAACCAGGAACGCCAAGCTATGGTTCCCGCCACTGCGCTGCTGACTGGTGACTTTCCCAGGCCGCCCTGCGCGGCGACTGCGGCTCCGGGGAGATTTCGCGTCCCCGCGAGATTCCGGCGGGTCCTCCGCACCCAGGTCTGCACCACACGGTTCCCCACAGTGCAGGGCCTGAGCAATGACAGGGAATGGACCCTTGACACTTCTGCCTTTGCCTCCTCAGTCCACTTCCACGCTCTCCCACGAGGTTTCCCAGCTTCCGCCTACGTCATTCTCTAATCCCACCCACACTCCACTCTTCTCCCAGCCAATGCTCCACATCCTCCCAGTTGCTGTTTCCGGCTGTGTGTCCCCGCCCCTCTGAGACCCGTCCCGCCCACTCGGTCAGGCTGCCTTCCACACAGCTCCAGCTGTCAGGCTGCCCTGCACCCGCTCTGCACAGCCTCCCCACATGCTCGCTGCCAGCCTAGACCAGAACTGCATCTAGGAGGACGCTGCACCCCCGTATCTGACCCCCACAGTGAGTTCTGAACCCTTCAGATAAAAGACAGGCGGCCTAACCTCAGACTTGACTACCAACCTCCCGGACTGATAGGGTAAATTCAGGAGGCTGAGTCCCATCCCCAAGGCAAACATGACAGGATAAAACCAAATACTTCAATTATGACTTGGAGTAGAGACATTTCAGGAACTTAGATTTTGGAAAGAAATAGGTGTATCAAGAAGTCAGTGGTTAGCCCATTGCTAACAGCCCAGGGCTGAGTTCATCCCCCGCTGTACCACTTTCTCCACTAGACGGTAGTCTTGTCATTTTTCTAGCTCAGGAACAAGTTTGTCTTCTGTGACGCATACTAAAGATTCTTTTAGATTGAACATATTTTTTCTTTAAATGCAGTGATGAATGCCTAGACTCTTGATTGTCCTAGATACAAGAAGTAAGTAAGGTATGTGGTCCCAGTCCTAAAAACATCAGTTACACCATCCTGTGTCTCTGGGAACATTGAGGAAGAGGAGAAAAGGGAGTAAGAAGAGAAAGGAGGAAGGGCTAAGACATGCCATTCTCTAGATTCTACACTGCTCTTGTAATCAGTAACCAACAGTAACTGTACTTATCTGCATTGACCTCACACAAGACCACAGTCTAGGAAAGGGAAAGGTTCACAGGGCCCACTCTTTACCCCTCAAATGTTGACTATGGATGGATTGTAGAAGAATCACTGCCTTTAGCTGTAGTCCTTTGCTGAGCCCACCAGGCTCCAACACATAGGTCCAAACCCACAGTCCCACAGATGGCTCTGGGTAATCTCAGTGGGTCCCAAAGCAAAATGAATGGAGATGAACACAATAGAGTGTTGTTCAAATCTTAAATGGTCTTATAATTTAAAAAAAAAAAAAAGACCCAGAGACAGATATCAGGGTGGTAGCTGAAAGATCAGAGAAGCAGAACAGCCAGCCACTAGTTCTTACCTCCATGAAATCCTCAGCCTAAAGAGAGTGAGTTCCTGTTCCTCACACCTTATATACCTTTCTCTGCCCTGCCATATTACTTCCTGGGATTAAAGGTGTGTGTGCTTTCCAAGCAAAGGCATGAGATCTCAAGTGCTGGAATTAAAGGTTTGTGCCACCACTGCCTGACTCTGTTTCTCTCCTATAATGGATCAATTTCATGTATCCCAGTGTGGCCTTGAACTCATGGAGATCCAGAGGGATCTCTGCCTCCTGAGTGATAGGATTAAAGGTGTGTGCCACCAATGCCTGACCTCTATGTCTAATCTAGTGGTTGGCTCTGTCCTCTGATCCTCAGGCAAGTTTAATAGGGTACACAATATATCACCAAAAATAGATTTGTTGGAATTGTGGACCAGAATAGTAGAGAAGTATGAGGTGATACTGGGCAGTAGTATCTTTTGGCACACACAACATATAGACACACACCGTAAGTATGTTTTTGAAATAGTTAATAATACTTTTTAAATGTCCATCAGTCTGTAATTTCTTTTTGGTTGTATCATTATCTAGTTTAGCATCAGGTAATACTAAGATCCAAGAAATATTTTAAGTAGCTTTGCTGTTAAGTTTTTCTTTGTAGTTCTGATAGAATCCTGTCAATCTGGTCATGAACTTGTATTAAGGGGGCATTTTATTCCTACTTCAGTGTCATTGCTACTTGTAGTTCTGTTTACATTATTTATTTTATGTTGTTTAAATTGTGTGTGTTCTCTGCACTTGGAAACACATCGATTTCAATTAGAGTTTCCAACTCAGTGGAATAGACACTTTTAATGTCAGAGAAATAGGATCCAGTTGATTACTTGTGTCTAACATTTAGGTTGGGCAATTACCATGAAAAGAAAAGTTATTTATTGTTGGACAAGGTCATGCAAGACTGAAAACCAGCAGTCATGAGGCAGAAGTAAGGGGAACTCTGAGTCCCAGGCCAGTCTTGTCTACATAATGAGTCTAGGACAGCTGGCAATACACAGGGAGGCTCTGTCTCAAAATAAAGCAAAGTCACTCCTGATGAATAGCATTTATGCTACCAGAAGTACAATGCAAGCTTCCAGAGGAGGGAACCAAGCAACAGTCCTAGCCAGCTATGATGCCTATGGACCACATCGAAGATCATCATCACAGAATAACCCTAAGGGTGCAGGAGCTGCAATCAGACCTTGGTGGTAACCAATGGCTCTCTAATTGGACTTACAAACAATTAACAAAACTGACTTCATAACAAAAGGAAAATTATGACTGATACTGGAAACCTTACTATCTACTCAGTGCTGGTGAAGTTATGGATCTTGGAGGAGAACTTCTCTACAATTACTTTACTAAACCTGCATAATCCCTCTAAAAAATATAAACATTTGTCCTTGTACCCACAGATTAGCTTAGTCTTAACTTCTCCTCAAAGAAACTTCTCTT